CACCACGCCAGTGTAAGGGGCTTTAAACTGTGAGTGCAGTTGCTCCTGCTGCATCACTGGCGGCTGTGGTGGGTAGTACATTGGTTGTTGCGGGTAATACCCAACTGGGGCCGGTGGCGGTGAAAAATACATAGGCTGGTGTGGAAAAGGGCCAGCTGCTTGTGGAAATGACTGCGGTTGCATTAAAACTGCGGCTGGAACAACAGCAGGGCCAATGTTCGGATTAATCGGCGTATTGTTCACGTTACTCGAAATAGTCACAGGGGCGGCGGCCAACGGGGGTTTCTTCCCCGCACCGAGTGCCGGGTCATTGTTAATGTCCGTGGTGACCTTCCACACATCACTGGGCGATGGGTTAATACCAAAGTCACACGCGAGGACACGTAAGTGCAGCTCCGAATTTGTTTTGGAGTGTCCCAGCAGGTACCACTCGTCGTTCACCACGCCTCGTGTCATGTGACCCAGCGACAGACTATATGTCCCCATGAGATCGTCGGAAATGATGTTTTTATTCCACAATTCAACGCACAACTGTGCTGTCGACTCATCGGCAACCTGAAATCGAAATGTCTCGTTCCACACGGGATTCAGCGAGTTATTGATGACCTTCGTCTTGTATTCATGGTCACCCATACGTACTCGGCAGTAGGGGTCCGGCAAGCCAAAGACTTGGCTGTCATGCAAGTTACGGGCTGCACAAATACACACCTGCAGCTTCCCCATCTCGCTCTTTGTTTATATGTTTATTTGAGTATGTATATGCGTATACAAATAAATAGGATGCACTATGCCTTGCTGACACGTGTTGCTCTCTTCCCTGCGATGTGCTCAACCAAACACACCAGGCACACAGACACGCAGAAAGAGAGAGAGAGAAAGAAGAGAGAAGAGAAAGAAAAAAAAGAGAAAAGACAGCTCTCTATGCACAGTCACCCGCAGTCAATGCGAAGTAGCCCCCTCTTTCCACCACCCTCTTCCGTGGGATGCTAATTGACGTCCATTTTCTACAAGACACGTGTCAGCCAAAACACGCCTACGGGCCCCACGAAACAGGCGTTTCTAGCGGAATGGTATCTTGAGCGGGGGGACGCCGGATTGCATGGGTGGAGTCAGAATGCGACAAGGCCACACGAACCCGAAGGGCAAACTCCACAGAGTACGATGATGCACTCACGAGCCGCACACATCTATCCAAAACGCCTCCACACTTGTCGTGCGGTAGGCAAAATTGATACTTCGCGAGACAGTCGTCGGAGGTCGCCGAATGACGCCAAAGCTCCAGTGCAACCGTCGGGAGGCCGTACGGGTCGCCAACCCACGGGGGTGCAAGCGCCATGGCGTCCATGCCACTGCCAGCAGCGATGCTGTCATGTGTGGTAAGCGGGTGATGATGATGATGATGAAACGACGAAAAATAGTGCGGCGTGTCACGTGCCAGCGGGCCACTCGCAATGAAAGGTGCCCCCAGCGACATCCCAACGTCCACAGCGGGAAGGGACGGCGGCAGACGAAAAAGAAACACTTCGTCCCACGACTTTCTCTCGCCCTCCACGAGGACACTTGTGCGTTGGGCCTCATCGCCCACACGCATCACGACGTACAGGCCGGCGTGCCGGAAGTCCCCGGCATCCTCCGAGAGGACACTGAGGTGGAGAATGCGGATTTTTATCATCGCACAAACCTCCACATCCGCTCCAAAAAAAAAAAAAGGGAAAAAAAAGCAGGAGACAATAATAAAAAAAAAAAAACAGAAAAGCAGCCGATGTCCCCAAATCCTCACCGCTTGGGTGAAAATTCATTCGTCTACGCAAAAATAGACGCCTTCTTTCCCGCTCTCTCCTGATGCGTGTGTGTTGTTGTTTTTTTCTTTTATTATTATTTCACTGTGGGATCACTTTCAGCCACACGCACGTGGTGCGGTATGACGAGGGATCCCCAAAACCGCCTTTGCGGTTTCTTTATATTTTTTTTATTTTCTTCTTCACCGCCTTCTCCACCTCCACCTCAGCTCTGCGGTAGAAAACATCGCCACAATGGCGTCATGCGGCACGCCAGGCAGGACAGAGACGCCCATGTGTACATATAAATATATGCAAATATGTCTGTATATTTGATCGTCTGCACACAAAGCATTCAAGACTACTCGTTCCAT